GTATACTAGAACCATTCAGTTCACTCACAGACAACATCAGAAAAGACCTTGCTGTTGCATTCAGTAATTACATGCATACGGGCAATATCTTCAGGAGCATATCTGTTCAATCATTTAGAAAATGAACATTTCCAAGTATCAAATCAAGTTACAAGCATATTTCAGATTGATGAGATACAACATTCAATGGGGTATGTACATTCTAGTATTCATGGCACTGGAATCCAATACCCTGTGATTTCACAAGCCAAGCTTCCTGTTAAAGACAAAATGCAAGTTCCCCCAGAAGTGTGGGATAAATACCCCAACCGCCATTTCTTTCAAGAATGCTGCATCAAGTTAGATGAAAAGAGGAGTATACAAAAGGATTACTTTGTATATTTGAAGAATCCAAATACATCAAGAAATTTCATTGGGCAGATTCATTCCATCTGGAAAGTCACCTCCAGAAGATCAACAGTCACATATTGCATGCAAGTTATTCAGTTTGACCTAGCTAACATTTCAGAGTACTACCAAATGAGAACCATTAGACGAAGCGCAAATTCCATTGTCTGCTCACCACAAGATATAATACATTGTCTCAACGTGCAACACAACTGTCACGATGGAGGCTGTCAAGTAAAACTGGGTTCCAGGGCTTCAAATGATACACATGAGGGAGCCCCTATGAGATACATTCTGGATCACAAACCCACTGATTCATTCATTATAAATGCATGCTCATTTCAAGCATCCGAGGCCCACCGAGAAATATCCTCTTTAGAGCTTCATCCTGTACCTCGAACAGAATTTGAGAAATCTGTTCGGAGAGGACTGAACAAATGGAAATCAGAAAAAAATCTACCTGATAGGGAAGAAGAAAGATTTTTCCCCAATGCACCTCAGAATGTTGGCTCCAGACAAACTTCAGCTTATCAACCATCACCTGGACGCAGCCGGAGTAATTCAGTGGCATCAATGCAACAATTGCCCCACTCAACTGTTAACTTTCATCCTCCAAATGTGCAACCATCATATGTAAGAGGTCGGGGGAATTCAGTTCAAATAGATCAACCATTTCAGTATGGACACACATCTTCAAGAACTCACCAATCAGGGTCAGTAATAAGCCCTAGTCAACCACCACAATCAAACATCTACAATATGAGTGACAATGAAGCCAATGTGGTTCAGCCAATGACATGTGGATCAAGTTCATCTATTCCTATAAACCCAAGAAGAACTGGTAATCCCACAAGAGACAATTTAAGAGAAGATTTATTAGCCAACCGGATAACAGCTTATCCTTCCATTCCTATTAACCCAACAGGAAGTGGATTCATCTCAAGAGAAGATTTGATAGCCAACGGGATAAGACCTGATCCTTCTGTTCTTATCGACCCAACAGGAACTGGTTCTCCTGCAAGGGAAGAGTTATTATCCAATGTGTTAACTACTGTCCCTCCTATTCATATTAACCCAACAGGAAGTGGTTCTATCCCAAGAGAAGATTTATTAGCCAACAGGTCAAAAGATTATCCTTTTATTCCCATTAACCCCACAGGAAGTGGATTTCCCTCAAGAGAATCTTTATTAGCCAATGGTATATCATCAAATTCTGACATTTGGCAAGGACCCAATTCAAGTAGCACCATGGGAAGTTCCATGCACCGGTCGTCATCCAGAGGCTCTGCTGCAGGAGGACAATCCATGAATCCAATGTATGCACAGCCAGTTCCCAGCAACATGGGGAGTTCCATGTACCGGTCGTCATCCAGAGGCTCTGCTTCAGGGGGACAATCAATGAATCCAATGTATGCTCAGCCAGTTCCAAGCAACATGGGAAGTTCCATGTACCGGTCGTCATCCAGAGGCTCTGCTTCAGGGGGACAATCAATGAATCCAATGTATGCTCAGCCAGTTCCAAGCAACATGGGAAGTTCCATGTACCGGTCGTCATCCAGAGGCTCTGCTTCAGGGGGACAATCAATGAATCCAATGTATGCTCAGCCAGTTCCAAGCAACATGGGAAGTTCCATGTACCGGTCGTCATCCAGAGGCTCTGCTTCAGGGGGACAATCAATGAATCCAATGTATGCTCAGCCAGTTCCAAGCAACATGGGAAGTTCCATGTACCGGTCGTCATCCAGAGGCTCTACTGTAGGGGGACAATCCATGAATCAAATGTATGCACAGCCTATTGGTAATCCCATGAGAGGCAATACAACCACTACTGAGAATGCTCCTGGATTATATGGCGAGCCAGTTTCTAGTAACATGGGCAGCTCAATGTACCACTCTTCATCCAGAGGGTCAGTTGGTTCACACCCCAATTACTATTATTAGTCATCCCAACCTCATCTGAAAGAAAGGTAAAACTCAGTAATCCTGAGAGCAGGCAATTTCATTGGAAAATACTGAAAGAAAACCAAAACCACACAGAACAAAATGTCCCATTACTTTTATTTTTATCCTCATCAGCCTTCAAACTCACAAATAAGTTTACTAGAAATAGATATATCCCCCATTCCACCAAAAAACATCAAAATTGAAATAAGACTCATATAAATTTGATCTGGGAATCCTGAATTTAAAAAAACAGAAAAAATACACAAAAAACTTAAAAGTTGAAACAAAATATAATAAAATAAAACCAACAAAAAAGAACAAAAAAACCTAGAAATTTAAAACCAACAAAATAGTTAATGGCCATTAGATTCAATTCCAACATCGCCAGCTTGTAAGAATTTTCCAAAAAAATCAAGCATGTATATTGAAAAGATTGTCTGCCTGTCCCTCCCAAATCAAACCCATAAAGCATGTGACTGTGTGATATGATCCATAACTTGAATACCAAAAAAATAACAATCTTATGACCATTGACAAAGAAATCAAGCAAACTCAAATACAAGAAAAAGAATTGAGGCCAGAAAGGGAAATGGAAAAAAGCTGCAACAGATAAAAATCAAATGCCATTCTCAG